GGATGCCGCTCCCGGAGAGCGTGACACCAGAGTTCCTGTGGGGCTCTCTTGGCGCTACAGCCTGGGGCTGGTGGCCAGCCTGGCTCGCGGGGCGCGCTCCCGCTCCCTTCCGCGCTCTGTGGCGCTGCGCTGTGGGATGGAACGTGCTTGGTGACCGGAGTCACGCCCATCCCACCTGCGGGCGCTGGGGCCTCACCTCACGGATGCCCTTTTCTCTGATTATTCAGGACGTGACCTCCACAAAAGGAAATGAGTTTGAAGATTACTGCTTGAAACGGGAGCTGCTGATGGGAATTTTTGAAATGGGCTGGGAAAAGCCGTCTCCTATCCAGGTTGTCGACCAGCGGGCTGCTTGCGCGCAGCCTTCTATTCCCGGGAATCCAGCCAAGTTCTTAGGCGGGCTTAGCTGTGGGACAGTCCTGTCAGGATTTGGGAAAAGTGGGGTTGTGAACACCAGGGCTCGGTGACCCTTTGGGGGAGCGGCCGAGGCTTTAGGGGAGTTTCCTTGGATTGCCCTCGCTGACAGCCCTCGTGTGTGCGCTCCCGGTAGCGTCCTTCCCGCTGGCGGTCCCAGCGAGAGCCGGGCTGTCGTGCAAGCGTTCCGGAAAACCGCGGGGCTGCACGCCGGTACACGGATACCTCCGGTTTGTCACGCGGTCTTGGCTCTTATCGCGAGCGTCGGGGAGACTGTGGGGCACCCAGGTTACATGGGCCGAGGTGGCTGCAGGGTAGAGGCGGGTTCCTTTTCCCGTAGGAGTGACAAACAGTTTGCTGATGACTGCCACTGTCTCTCCACTTTTTTCCCCTAAATTTCCCCTTTTTTCCTGCTGCACCAGCACGGTTTTACCATTCCTGTGGTACCCGAGCCCTGGTTCCCTTCCGGGCAGGCAGGATAAGGACTTGGGAGAGGGAGCGGAGCTCTCGCTGGGTGGAGGAGCTCCCTCTTGACGGGTGTAACTCCTTTCTGCTGGGGGTCCGGGGCGTTCCGTTGGTGAACAGTCGGATCTACGGGGGCGCGGTTAGCGAGGAGAGTTGACGTTGGGCGGGCTCCACGGGG